GAGAGTGGCTTTGGGAGGTTCCTCTTCCAACCTCCCTTGTTCCCCTCCGCTGATGGGCTTATTACTGTTCCCTATCAGTGAAACCCTGTCCCCCAGGTGGCCAGCAGCCAACTAGGACCAATGAGGACCCCCTCCACCATCTCTGTCATAAGATAATGTGACTCCACTTTGGGGAAGGAATCTTTGGGACATGATCGGGGGGCCGCGAGCACTTCGTACTGTTCTTTTACAGGGGCGGCGGGGGTGCTCGCATACTGCCTGCTGTGCGCAGGGCCAGCGTCACTTTCAAAAAAGAAGACGCCATGCACTTCGAGGCAACATCTGGATCATTCGCGGGCAACCCGCGGTCACTGTGCATTGGTTTCGGACTGGGACGGCGGGGGTGCCGGCATATTGCCTGCTGTTTGTAGGCCCACCAGACGCTATGATGGCCACCCCGCCGCCATGGGTTCTGCTTTAGGTCCCATTATTTGCCCGTCCAGAGACGACCGCTGAAGACGCTGCGACTCGGGTGCTGCTTTATGTGCTGGGAGGGTGAGCGAGACGGTTTGGGGGCGGGTAGGGTGTCTTGACCCCTCCCCCTCCCCTCCTCCTCCTCCCCCGCCTCCTCCTCGTCTTCCTCCTCCTCCTCCTCCCCCTCCTCCTCCCCCTCCCCCTCCTCCTCCTCCCCCTCCTCATCCTTCTCCTCCTCCTCCTCCTCCTCCTCCTCCTCCTCCTCCTCCTCCTCCTCCTCCTCCTCCTCCTCCTCCTCCTCCTCATCCTCCTCCTCCTCCTCCTCCTCCTCCTCCTCCTCCTCCTCCTCCCTTTCTCCTCCTCATCCTCCTCCTCCTCCTCCTCCTCCTCCTCCTCCTCCCCCTCCCCCCTCCCCCTGGCTCTGGACGGGGCGTGTCGCGACACGTTGGGGCGACCAAGGTGGCCTCGGCGAGGAAGCCACACCATCATTGATTGCACGAGGTTCTGGAGCGCATTGAGGCGCTCCCCAGAGGCTCCCAAGGGTGCCCCAAGGCGGCCCCAAGAGGCCCCCAGGAGGCCCCCAGGAGGCCCCCAGGAGGCCCCCAAGAGGCTCCCAAGAGGCCCCCTTATGAGGCTCCAAGAGGCCAGTGAGAGGCGCCCCGAGACGCCCCAAGAGGACCCCAGGGACTGCCAAGAGACCCTCAAGACGCCCCAGGAGAACTCAGGAAGCTCTGGACAGAGATCCGAAGACGCTTCGAGAAGCATCCAAGAGGCCTTTGGCCTTTCTGCTCCCCCTCCTCCTCCTCCTCCTCCTCCGCCTGTTCCTCGTCCGTCCTCGTCCCTCCTCCCCCCTTCCCCTCTTCCACCTCCACTGGCTCCTTCTCCAATTCATCCTCCATCCTCCCCTTCTTGGGGCACTACGTCTCACCCAGGCCTTTATTCCACTGCATTATCCTCCACATCCCTGATCAAATCAACTCGTCTGGGTATCGTTTCTGGATGAGCTGATGGGACTGCGCGAAACGTCTAGAATAAACTATCCAGCCGCTCCGGGACTGGCGATCCCAAATGGCACAACCACAACCCGCCTTATCTTATACCGTTCTCCGTCCGCGGATGCCTGGCGGGCCGACGGCGGACGGCCACACGGAATGCCCTGGGCCTGGGGAAACAGAAAGGTATGGATACCGCTACTCCACAGGCCACGTCTGGGGTGCGTCCTGACCCGAATTCCGATGATCATTCCGCCGTGGCAACCAGGGCTCTTCGGGACGAGAAGGCTGCATCGGTGTCTACGCCACGTCGTCTTGTCGGCCAGGAGGCTGTATGGACCCCCAGCTTCCCAATCTGTGGGACGCTGGAGCGTCCATCCACCACATGACTTCGCTGAGCACATTGGCTCCTCGGCGGGCCCAACGACGCGGTTTACATACTCCAGATTTCGTAATAAAGGGAGGGGGGTCTCATTTCGGGGGGGGGTCTCTTCCAGGCTATCTTGGAGGGCCTGGGGGGGTCTAGGGACGATGTTTTGGAGGGTTCTCCCACGGGGGGGGGGTCTGAAATGGCATGTCTTGGAGGGTCCAGACCCCCTCCCTTGTATTATGAAACCTGGAGTACAGAGCTCATTGGAAGCAGAGCTCGAAGCAAGGCGAACGGAGACAGCGGCAACGCAACATTGGCCCCTGGACCCTTTGCGGGCTCCGAGAGCGAGCCCGTGTGTCCGAGCTGCGTCCGGCCCGGGCGACAAGGGGGGCCACCCCGAGCCCTGACTCCGGATCCGCCCTACTTTGGCTTTTTTTCCAACTTAAAATTGCGTCGGAAATCCACCTATAAGGAGCCGAAAAAGTAGGGCGGAAATTGCTGCACCCAACATCAAATAGGACGGAAATCCACAGAAACAGCAACAGAAAAGTAGGGCGGAAATTGGCATCAGCGGGGCTTGAAAAGTAAGGCGGAAATTCCAAGCCCCACTTACGAATTTCCCCAAAGTAGGGCGGATCCGGAGTCAGGGAGGGCCAACTACCGTTAGGTCGAGTCGGGCCTGTCCCCCTACAGGGGGATTCTAAACGAGAAAGGAAAAATAGTTAAAACAAAAACAAAAAACATACACCCCAAATGGTCAAAGAATACTCAAAAATCACCCCCAGACTACTTTTGTTGGCATCTTCGGATATCCCTCCTGTAGAGGGACAGGCCCGACTTCAAACTGCCGTTGCCCGAACTCGCCCTCCTCGGAATATGTTCCGACCCCGAAGACCACGGCGGCGGCGGGGCGAAGCCGGCGAAGGCCAGGCGTCGTCCGAGTCGCTGTCGACCACGCCGAGGTCGTCGTCCTCCGATCGAGGATCGACAAATCAACCTTTATCGGGAGCGGCCAAGGTGGGGGTCCGGGTGCAAACCATGACCGGCGGCATGTGCGCGGCCCAGCGGGGGGGCCAGGGACGCAATGAAATAAGAAGAGGCGCCATGACATCTGGGGAAATATCATGGCCCCCGCCATGATATCCCCCCCCTAATCATCACCCCCCTCTTTGCCGCCCCGACTTTAGCAAAACGCCTTTCGGTGACAACTTTCAGGAACACTCCGCGTGCGCACGAGACCGCATTCCGAGTGGACCCGCCCGGAATGGCAGATCGACATCCAGAAACAAGCGAGTGCAATTACCTGGCAAAACACACGTCGACCAGCAAAACTCACAGGGGACTGCAACGGTACACTCGAATGCCAATGTCGAATGAACCAATGCAAATTTCCTCAGACGACTTGTCAGAATGGGCCTTCTCTCCATGCTGGACGCCCGAAACGGGTACGGAAAAGATGGGTAACGATGCCTAACAGCGTTGTCCCAAACCGGCATCAGCCGCTGCTGGGCAGGCCACCTCCTGTCTCGAATGGACAACGGCAACGTCCGCAGCGACACCCACGACGAGTCCTGTTCCAAACGATCAAGAGATGCGATTGGTCTTGGTACTCCAGATTTCGTAATAAAAGGGAGGGGGTCTGGACCCTCCAAGACAAGCTATTTCAGACCTCCCCCGTGGGGGAACCCTCCAAAACATCGTCCCCAGACCCCCCAGGCCCTCCAAGATAGCCTGGAAGAGACCCCCCCGAAATGAGGCCCCCCTCCCTTTATTACGAAATCTGGAGAAGCCGATGTGTTCGTCGAGTCAACAGAACATGCTTAGAATGCTCCGTAGATCTACAGAGCATTCTACGCACTCTCGCAGATTCGACGAACAAGCAACTTTGGGGATACATCAATTCGGTAGTCGACCTCCTTTATTCCGAAATCTGGAGTAGCCATTCTCTCCATGCGGCGGAAACGCCCGGAGATCCCAACGATCCACCAGCCGTGGGCCGTGGGCCCAGGACGGGCCTGGCCATGGGATCGGCCAAGGCCCGCGCCCGGGAACGCTCCCTCTTGACGTGGCCGGTGCTCGCGGAGAGGCAGGGGGCCCCTCCTCCTCTTCCCCCTCCCCCTCCTCCTCCTCCTCCTCCTCCTCCTCCTCCTCCTCCTCCTCCTCCTCCTCCAGGTCTGTGAAGGGGCCCTGGGACACACAAACAAATAGACACAAATAAAAGGATATGATTCCCCATATTTCCCATATGTTCTGGGTTTTGGTCTTCCACCCTGCTTCCCATATTTTCGCATATTTTCCCGGGAATCGACGATGAATTATGTCTGTGAAGGAGCCCTGGGACACACAAATAAATGGACACAATGATACCAGAGAAAGACCCCAATCAGGGCCATCGGGCTAGGGAGCTATAGGGCTATAGGGCTGTAGGGCTATTGAGCTATAGGGCTACAGAGTTGTAGGGCTATATGTAGGGCTATAGGGCTATTGGGCTATAGGGCTACAGGGCGCAGGGGGCCTCAGGTCTGTGAAGGGGCCCTGGGACACACAAACAAATAGACACACATCAAAGGATTCCCCATATTTCCCTGATACCTTCTCGGTTTTTGTCTTCCCCCCCACTTTTCCCATAGTCTCGCATACCTTCCCGGGAAAATCGACGATGAATTGTCTCCGCGTATTCTTTTCCCCCTCCTGAGTCTGGCCCGGATCGAAGACGCCCGAAGACCCCACACCTCGAGCCACGGACCCACCGCGCGGTGTGGCCGCCGGGCCGCTTGGCGGCCCCCCGGAGGCCTCCGAGGCGCCGCCGCCGCTCGAGGGCCGCCGCAGCCCGGGCGGAGTCCGCCGCCGACGGCCGCCCGGCCGCCGCCGGCGCCGCGAGCGGCTGCGGCGCCGCGACCCGCCGCGTTCCGAGCTGGAGGATCGGGCGTTGCCGGAGGTGGCCCTGCCCTGAGGTCGGGGCGCTCGGCGATGGACGTCTCATCCCTGCCCTCCTCGCCATCGCTCGGACGTCCATTCCCTGTGTTTGTTCGGTTTCGTGCGTGGCTTTTTCGCCAAAGGATCCAGGATCCTCCTCGAGGGTCCTCGCCGAAGGAAAAAAATGCACGCGTGCGAGCGACGCCCGGCCTCCTCCCCCTGCTCCCTCGCCTCCTTCTGGCCGGGCGTCGCAGCCATGCCCTGCCCGCCCTGGCCGCCAGAACGGGGGCAGCGGCCGGGGTGCGCATCGAACTGAGGGGGCCCCAGAACACACAAATAAATACACACAAATAAACATATTCCCCATATTTTCCCATATTTTCTCGGTTTTTGTCCTCCAACCCACTTCCCATATTTTCCAATATTTTCCTGGGATTCGAGGATTAATTGTGTCTGTGTGTTTCTTCCTCTCCTGACGAACATCGATTCCTGAGGGTGTACATTGTTCCCTGACAGCGTCTCGCTATAGAGCGAAAGGTAAAGAAGAAGACCACACAGGAATCCCACAACGGGGACGAGGAGCTCGAGACCGCCCAGTCTGGACGCCGTCCGGGAACCACTTTGCCTGCGACTTCCTCACAGGTTATTCATCAATCGTGCTCTCCATTCAATGCGGGCTACATGTTTGGTGCGCGGACGGCAACGATCCTCCCCAAAAAATACCCTCGCGAAGAACCCAGCCATATGCAGTTGTGAATACCGTGCTGTGGGCACCGTTTTCGGTATAGAGTTTGCGATGGCGCCGCGAGGCGTGTGAGGGTTGTGCCGAAAAGGGCGTGACGCCCACAGGTGGACGGTGCCTTCGCGTGGCCTTCGGAGGCGCTCCCCGCGGGGCCACGAAAACCGTGCAAAAAGGGGCGTGCCGAAACGGGCGAGACGCCCACCCGAGGACGGTGCGGCCGGGGCCTTCGACGGAGCTCCCCGTGGAGCCGCGATGCGCGTGTGACTGAAGGGGAACTGGGACACGCAAACAAATACACACCAATAAAACGATTCCCCATATCTTCCCATGTTTTTGGGGGTTTTTGTCTTCCCCCCCACTTCCCATAGTTTCACCTATTTTCTGGGAATCGCCGATTCATTGTGTCTGTGTTTTTTTTTTTTCTCCTCCTGAGTGGTGGGCGTGCCGCAGCGGGCGCGACGCCCGCGCGTTGGACGGCGCCGCCGAGGCCCATCGGCGGAGCTCCCCAACTAGGGGCCACGGAGCGTGCCGGGGGGGTGCCAGGGATCGGCGTGGGGAGGGCCTGCGGCAGGGGGCCGGGGAGGAGGGCGGGAGGGCCCACGGCCTCCTGCCACTCCTCCTCCTCCTCCTCCTCTCCTCCTCCTCCTCCTCCTCCTCCTCCCCCTCCTCCTCCTCCTCCTCCTCCTCCTCCTCCTCCTCCTCCTCCTCCTCCTCCTCCTCCTCCTCCTCCTCAAGCATCTGGGCCCGAGAGGTTTGCAGGGGAGCAGATCCAACGGGCCCACTGTTGCGCGCGCACCGCGCGTCCGCCCCCAGCGCCCAGCGGCAGGTGGCGAGGCGCGCTCGCGGCTTGAGGGGCACACCGGCCAGGTGTGGCAGAAGTCGCAGCAGAACGACGACGGCTACGACACGTACATGGGAGGAGCACGCCCGCCCTGGAAAGAAGGAGGTCGAGCAGCCAGCAGAGCTCGATCGCACTCACGGTCGAAGAAAGAATACCAGGGCGGGAAGAGGAGGCCTTTTGTTGTGTGCAGCACTTGCTTTCCTGTTGGCAGCAGTTGGATCTATTGTGACCGTATCGCTGACAAGGCCAAGTGCGCTAAGTGTGGCACCGTGTGGTCAAGCATATCGACGGAGACAGCCCAGCCAGATCCACAGACCCTGGCTCAGGTCGCCCTCCTCGCAGATCAATACAAGGCGGCCAAGGACGCCAACAACAAAGAGCAGATGGAGCTGCTGGAGCGTGCATGCCCTCAGTTACGAATGCCTGAGCCAGCGCCGCCACCAGCACCCAAGCCGTTCGAGGAATTGGAAATGGCAGCCCAGGCGCTCCGTATGGTCACGACGGCGGGCGAGAAGCTACGCAGGCGACTCTTACGCAATGCGGAAGAACAAAAAGACATCCTGGAAAAGCTGGCTGACAACAAAATCGCCGAGAAAGAAGCTCAGCAACAAGTGGACCTGTGTCGAGAGAAGGCGAACAGAGGACAACCACCTTCAGCTGCGACAGTCCCTGATGATGCAGTTGCTCCAGAGCTCAGTAGTGAAGAACTGGCTTTCCTGGGTGAAGCAGAAAAGAAAGAGTACGAGGCAGCAAAGGAAGCGGCCGTGGCAGCGCAGAAGACCTTGGAAGCGGCAAAGGGAGCCACCCAGGCCCGCAAGGAGGCCGCTGAGAACCTCCGCAAGTTCGCAGACAAGGCTCAAGAGTGCAAGAGGCGCCGTGGCAATGGAGGACAACCATCAGTGGGGGGCACCCAGGCCAAAGATGAAGTCCAAGAAGAGCCAGCCCCAGAACAGGCCAAGCCATACGACTTCACGAACCCAGAGGACGTGGACAGGTACCTGGAGACCACAGTACGCATTCGGGAGAGGAGCAAGACGGTCGTGGCGGCAAAGACGGAGCCTAAGACGTGTTCCTAGCATTCGGCGTAAGGTCACTTTCCAGGACCCCATCAGGGATGAGCAGGACCCGGTTTTGCACGACGACCAGCAGTACTCACATGTATTCGTGGCGAATATCTCGCAGTACAATGCGTCAGCTCGGGATTTTATATTGGGTTCGAAATACGACGTGGTGGGCCTAGTGGAACACCACCTCCAGAGGACGAGCGCAGCCAGCGAGGCCCAGCGGCTTCAACCAGACGGCTGGCACTCACAGTACACATGGGCGGCAGCAAGAAAGACTGGGCGATCAGCAAACGGCACTCATGGGGGAGTGTGTTGGCTACGTCGCTCGCACCTCCAGACTGCAGTGCACCTACCCACCGTCAGGGGGAGCAGCGCCTTCGAGAAGGAGCTGAATGACATCGCGGTGGTACACTGGGATTTGAAGGGAGGCATACGTATCACACTCTTCGTGGTATACCTCGACAGTGGACCAGGCCTGGCAGGGCCCAATGCAGCGAAGATGAAGCAGCTGACACAGTTGACGGCCAGTATCTCTACACCGTGGATGGCAGTGGGTGATTGGAATGTTACCCCAGACGAGTTCATGCAGTCCACTTGGGCGAAGAAGCTCAAAGTTACCCCAGTATGCCCGAACGTCGATGCCACGTGTACCAGTGGCAGAGGACGCATGTTAGATCATGTGCTTTGCCCACCAATTTTCAGGCCTTTCCTGGGTGGAGTCATGGCGGTAACAAAAGTACCGTGGAGACCGCATGTTGGTTTGCACATCCGCATCGCTAGGAAGCCAGCAAAGTTACAGATCTTGGCTCCTGTGAGGGCAGAACAGCACAAAGTACCATACATCACGGTGCACGTCGAGAAAGGCACCAAGAGGAAACAACGAGACCGAGAGCAGCATGCAAAGCTTACGGAGCACTTGCCAGAGTTGGACGACATAATCTACGACACAGACCTGTCGGAAGAACAACAAGCTCTCCAACGAGAACGAGCAGACATCGACAAGCTCCGTGAACCTACGTACTCCAGAGAAGTATTGGCGACGGTCTCGGATGATGTTTGGCAAGATACTCGAAGGCAGACAGAACATTGTGAACTATTTAGCCCAGACAAGACTACGGCGGACAGTTTGGCTTTCCAGTTAACCGAAGTGAACAGCGTGCAATTGGGCGAGCAGTACACTCGATGGGCACAAGCAGCAGACTATACCCTGGCCATTCTGTGCAACAGAGAGGACCAAGTTAAAACGGTTCGAGGACGGCCAGTGAAGTACCGCTTGGTCCCAGTAGCCCCACGGCGTGAGCACCGCACGCAGGAACCAGGACAAGCCAGACACGACCGCCGGGTGGAAATGGGATCTCTCCTACGGCAATTGGCAGTTTCAAGGAGCTCTACTCGACAGCAGCAACTGCGAGGATTGATGCGATCTCAATTGTCGCACATAGAATCATTGGAGTACCCGCCACTGCCACTGTCCAGCCTCAACTGTGTGCGCCAAGACGAGAAGGAAGACTCACTGGCTTTGGATATTATTCGCAAGACAGAGCTGGACACAGACCATCAGCTGTGGAGTGAAGCAGTACCTCAAGCGGCGCAGCGGGCAGAGCGACATGGCAAGCGAGCCTGGCAGAAAGCGAAGCAGAGCATCCACCGTTGGGCAAGGAAGGCCATGGACGGCAACATGAAGGAAGCGCATGGATATCTCAAGCGGCCCGAATCCCTCTCGCTCCCTGGGCTGTGTATCGACCCCGACAGTAGTGGAGTCATTGCCAACTTACAAAGTGCGGTGGAAACGAGAGCCAGGCAATGGAAAGCAAGATGGACCAGGCACGACGAGTATAACGAGACAAAGACACAAATGCAGAAGCTCCGCTCAAGGGCTGAAGCAGACCTTCCAGAGCGTGAACCCATCACATTGGACCAATTGGAAGCGGCTCTCAGGATGACGCCTAATTCCTCAGGCCCAGGTTCGGACATGTGGAAAGCGCAGCATCTGAAGGCGCTGGCACCCCAGGCCAAAGAAGAATTAGCCGACTTGCTCACCAGATGCGAGCAAAGCCTGTCATGGCCGCACCACTGGTTACATATTTGGTATGAACTTCTACGCAAGGGATCCAACTTGAAAGCTGGAGACGAGAGGCCGATCGGCTTGATACCTTTACCGATACGACTCGGGGGGCGGATCCGACAACCAACTATGGCAGAGTGGAGCAGCAAGAAGGCAGCCTTCTGGGATGCAGCAGTGGCTCAGTCGTCAGCACTCCAGGCAGCTCTTTTCAGCATGGCCATGGACGAAAGCAGCGCATGGGATGGAACGCAGGCGTGGGGCCCCATCTACTTGGACATCAAGAAGTTCTACGACTCGATCAGCATCCCGATCTTGATTGATCGCCCTCTGAAGCTTGAATTTCCCCCCAGTGGAGCTCTACCTCAATTGTCTGGTATACCTCGCTCCGAGAGCGATCAGAGCAGGAGGTGCATTCGCTCCACCGATTATCCCTGGGAACAGCATCGTACCAGGGTGCAACAACGCAAATAATGGTGCAAGGGCATTTTTGTACGAAGTGTTGGAACGAGCTCACAATCAGGTACCCCGAGCGCTCCCCGGGCAGTACGTGGACGACGTGACGGCGAGGTCTGATGGCTCGTACAAGCAGGTTAAGCACGAGTTAACCACTGTTGCGGTCGAGCTGGTCAAGGGACGCATGGAGGGCAAGTTGGAGATGCCGGACAAGCCGGCAGTGATGGCATCCCACCCAAGTATCGAAAAAAACAGTCTCGCAAGCAGTTCGGCAACTTGGTGCAACAGTCAAAGGAGCCGCGTACGTGCGCGACCTCGGCATCGACATGGCGAGAGGACGAAAGAGGCGCACCACGACGGCTACGGAGAGACGCAAAGCGGCCAGAGCAAGAATACGCCGAGCCAGGGTTTTCAAAGGGGCAGGCAAGCGTAGACGGAAGCTGGCCGCGCTCAACTTAGTCAATGTCCGTGCCAAGTCATCATGCGACGTCCCCGCAGTCGGCCAACCCCCCACTGCGGTGCGACGTGCCAGAGCAGCAGCAGCAGACATGCTTGGGTACACGACGGGCGGCAGGAGTACATCCATGGTGATGCTGTTGCACTACTTCGAGAAGGACCCAAAAGCCGTTGGGCTCCGCCGCCAAGTATCAGAAAGGGTTAAGCTGTGGAAGCGGTGGCCAGACTACCATGACAAACTACGAGGAGGTTGGCATGCTGCAGTACAGAGACTCCAGCGAGCACGACCCAGAGGACGCTGGAATGTGGTGACGGGGCCGATGGCGGCGCTCATCCAGGGACTTACCGAACTTGGATGGCAGTTACCTGAGCCAGATACTTGGACGGATGCGCAACAAAATGAATGGAAGATGGCCCAACAACCGCACCAGCAATCAGATGACGGGCTACCAGTTTCGGGAAGTCAGCAATCAGATGACTTGCTTAGAGATGAAGACACCACCCAACTCATGGCGAGCATCACGGCGGACGTCATCAAGGAGCTGTGGCAGCAGGCGACCAGAGATCGCCACGGAGGAGGATGGAGTTCTACGCCAGACCTCACTACAGCAAGCAGAACCCTACAGAGAATGAGACGCACAGAGTTACATCGGGAAGCTGGTGCGCTAGAAGCAATTATTTGCAATACCATCTGGACCGAGGATCGTTGCCGTGCTGAAGGCTACGAGTGTGATGGAGTCTGTACCAGGTGCGCGACAGGCCAGAAAGAGACGATGGCCCACCGCGTCTGGAGCTGCCCTCACACATGCGGTCAGGACCACCCTTGGATCCGTCAGAGTGCCAAGCTATGTGATGAAGCTATCCGAGACATTACCAACGGGACCAACCTGGAGCTGTGGCTAAGAGGGCTACTACCATCCACGTGGAACTCCGTACCGCCCCCGCCTTCATGGGGCATGCCTTGCCTGCCGTACTACATCGACTGGGACGGGCCGACCGTCACGTTCGAGGGCAAGGTGAACTTCGAGGACCGCATCGAGTGCAAGCTGGCCTTCCTGGACGGCTCGGCTTCGAGCTGCGACGCGCGCCTTGCGCGCGCGGGCTGGGGTGTCTACTTTGCCCAGTCCGCTGCCTGTGTGGAAAATGACGACCCCGACACCCCTCGGCCAAGAGCTTGCGGGGGCTTAGACGGAGCCCAGACGGTCCCGTGTGCGGAGTTGGCGGCCCTCTGGTGGGCCTTAAAAATGACAAAAGGGCCAATCTGGCTCTACACGGGCAGCCAGATCGTGTACGACGGTTGGCACGGTTCCTCGGACACCTCGGGAGAACTCAAAGGCTGGTGGAAGAGGGTCTTCACTGAAGATCAAGGTCGACGAGTGATGCTCAGTAAGTGCAATTCGCACCTAGATAGAATTTCGCTAGCCTCCCTGGTCCAGACCCCTTGTGTCACCCGAGGCAACGACCTGGCCGACAAATTCGCCCAGCTAGGAGTTGAGCAGGTTTCAGCTGAAATGGACCCAGAGGTCAGAGACCTAGGCCGTGATGAATTTAAAGTGTGGTTGGTCCAGAGGAGGCTGGCTGTTGTCAACGCGGAGTTCGCTGGTGCTGACCATGAGCGTAAGAGCCGCCCGCGTAAGGACTGCCGTGTGCCGCCCGCTGCTTGGCGCGTAAGGAAGGCTCTGGAAGCGTCTTCGGGGCACCAGGTCTCCAAGGTTGGCCCCTCCTGGGTGTGTTGCCACTGCCAGAGTGGCCCAGGGAAGTTTTCTGTTTTGGACTGGCTTCGCGGTGGCAAATGCCCAGGACCCCAGTTCCATAGAGTAGAGTCTCAAGGTTTACCTGTGCGTCTCCCCCCTCGATACAGTATCGGGGACAAGGCGGTGCATGAGTCACATAATGCGGCAATTTTGTATGGCCAGATTTTTTGTTGGAGGTGTGGGTGCCTTGGCTCGAAGACCCCCACGGGTGGTAGACTGGGGGCGGGCATCGTCGGCGTGTGTAAAGGGCACCCCACCCCTGCGGGCCAAGAGGCCTTGAATAAAATTCGGCGTTGGGAGGTCCCCTCATCGAGGGGTAAGGCCGAGTGGCCCGATGGCACCCCCAACGCCCCCAGGCGCCCAAAGCGTGAAGTGCGCCGCAAGGGTTAAGATAACCCCAGATGCGCCAGCGGCTTATCGGCGGGATTTGCTGTCTGGTAAGTAATCGTCCAGTAATCGTCCTCCTCCTCCTCCTCCTCCTCCTCCTCCTCCTCCTCCTACTGCTAGTGCTCCTGCTGCTCCTGCTCCTGCTCCTCCTGGGAGGCGGGCGGGACAACCCCGACCCCTGTCCCGGGCGCATCGTTGCTGGGAATCCCCGGGATCCAGGTCGGGCCTGTCCCGCCCTCCCTGCAGGGGGATTTTGGGCGAAACATGACAAAAAAACGTCCAACAATACCTTGAAAATGCTTATACGCAACAAGTAGTCCCCCGACTAAAACATACTCTCAACAGAGTCCAAAAATACACCCAACATGCCTTCAAAATAATCCAAACATGCAATCAAAATCTTTCAAAATACGCAAAAAGTAGTCCCCCGATAATTTTTGGATTATTTTTGAATATTCCCCCTGTCGAGGGACAGGTCCGACCTAAGCCTAGGAACACCTGGGAATGCACGTCTTGAACCGACCGACCCTCTGCTCCTTGACACGCCTCTCTACATTTCTGCCGCGGCAACTAAAAAAGTGCTTTGCTGCGCCCAAGACGGCCCCACGACGGCCACAACCAGGGCCAGAGAATGCGAACACGAACCAAGAATTCGGGCCTACTGCCCCAAGAGGCCCCCAGCAAACCCCCTTGCCAACAAGAGCAATTGCTATACCCAGAAAGCTGCGCTGGCCCAGTGGAGAAATTGCCGGAAGCATCTGGATTTCACACCGGGCATTTTCGTCTGGGCACCGGGACCATCACAGATCGAACCGGTTTGAAAAAATGCAGCAGAAAGATGGGGTCCAGGGCTCCTGTCGGGATTTTCCGCGACGTTGCATTTTTCTGCTACATCGAATCTCAGGGTGTCCCACTGTATCCCAGCTTTTCATACATGTTCAAACCATTTGGGGGCCTCTCGAGGCTCAGGCCCCAGGGGCTCCAGAATGGAGCAACAAGCTTGGACCGCGGAGCAACTCTCCCTTCATTCCTGCTGGCTGCTGGCGCGTCGTCCGCACTCGGCAACGTCCAGTCTGGGCCGCCCAGCAGGACGAATGAGGAGAAGGAGGCTGGGATGCGCCAGTGGAGAAGTCACACGGGGCGGGAATCCCGCCCCTGTGCCTTCTCCCTGTGCCTTCGCGGCGCCCATACGGGAGCTGCAGGAAGCAAAGAAGACGACCCGGTCGACAGCAGCGCGCCCTTCTGGGGACTGGGAGGTTGGCAAGGCCCACCAGCCAGGGCTCATGGCATGTCATGTCGGTGAATTCCAGGAATGGTCGCACCCTCCGCTCCCAACGGTCCGACGAACGCAACCGGGCCTTACGCGAGCGGCTTACGCGGGCCGCCAGCGTGGCACCCCGCGTGGAGAAACGGGCGCTCAGGCGCGCGACCCGACCGCGCGAATGCGGGATCGATCGAACCGTTTTCTGCGTCGCTCGGTTGAGCTATGAAGGGGCCCCAGGACACACAAATAAATGCAAACAAATAAAAAGATGCCCCATATTTTCTCATATTTTCCTGGTTTCTGTCTTCCCCCCACTTCCCATATTTTCCTATATTTTCTGGGGAATCGAGGATTCATTGTGCCTGTGTGTTTTTTCCTCTCCTGAAGCTAGGGCCACCTCCGGCACGAGGAGCAACGATCGGGTGGGACTGGCTCGGGAAGGACCATCGATGAAGGGGCCCTGGGACACACGAATAAATACACACAAATAACAGGATTCCCCATATTTTCCTATATTTTCAGGGTTTCTGTCTTCCCCCCCACTTCCCATATTTTCCCATTTTTGTCAGGGGAATCGAGGATTCATTGTGCCTGTGTTTTTTCCACTCCTGAAGCTAGGGCCACCTCTGGCACGAGGAGCAACGATCGGGTGGGACTGGCTCCTCGCCATCGCTCGGACGTCCATTCCTCGTGTATGTTCCGGTTTCGTGCGTGTTTTTTCGCCAAATGATCAAGGATGGTCCCCGATGGCCGTCGCCGAGAAAACATGCACACGTCCGAGCGATGCCAAGGGCTTGGGGAGGACCATCGACCTGGGATCGGGGAGGGAGGAGGGAGGGAGGAGGAGGGAGGAGGAGGGAGGAGGAGGGAGGAGGGAGGAGGGAGGAGGAGGGAGGAGGAGGAGGAGGAGGAGGGAGGAGGAGGGAGGAGGAGGGAGGTCAGTCACGCTCATCAGGGGCACGAGTCAAGCTCCCAACATTACAGAATAAAAAAGAGATTGCTCAAGCTCCTCGAGTGCGCTACAATTAGCGGTGCTACGCACTTGGGGGGGGCCCGAAACGTCCCTACGGAGCCCAGAACGGAGGGAATCCCTGGGTCCAGAGACGGTCCCACAAACAAAAAACTCGATGGGCTACTATCGCATAGTAGGCGATCAGACAAAGAACGGAGAAAGAAGCCTCCAAGCCAGCATCCAAGAACGCCGAAATAAAGAGAGAGCTCGGAGCATCCAGGACCCGCACCCACGAGGTGATCTCAGCGCGCTCCCGAGCGGGGTCATCGCCCAGCCCGAAGCAGCAGCACACGCCGAGACCAGAGATTTCAAACCAGACGGAACCGCGGGAATCAAAATCTGGCGGGGCATTCCTCTACCAGTCCGCAGAGGACCCAGGCGCCAAGGCCTAACCTAGGCCGTGGGTTCGTCCCTACGGGGTCTCCTGGGTAGAGCTCCAATCAGCCTCAGGATGCTGGCATCAAGGGAGGCCGAGGGGGTGAGGCGAGAGGGGGTCCCCGCAGCAGGAGCAGCAGCAGCCCTCGGAGGAGGAAGGGGACGAGAGAGGGAACTAACTTCTGAATTCGACTGTGGCGATCCGAGCCTCACCGTACCATCCCGAGCCCGTCCTCGTACCCCCATTCCTGGGCGCCTACCCGCAGGTCCTGCTGGTGTCCCAGGGAGTCCGAGCGAATGGGTACTTCGCGCGCCGATCGGTCCACTCGTGGCAATCGATGTCCCCGTGACAATCGAGGTCGGCGTGGCAATCGAAGTAGGCGCGGCCAGCGGTCCGCTCGTGGCAATCGTTGTCCTAGTGGCAATCGATGTGGGCGTGGCACTCGGTGTAGACGCTTCCCCCGCACTGCGCTGGCCCCCAGGCACAGTGACTACCCCCGTCTCCCCAGCGGCCGGTACCACGCGCCTCCAAGCGCCCAACGGGCTGGGAGGACGCGTGATGCGTGCCGCTGGGGGCCCTCCAGCGGTCGGTACCACGCGCCTCCAAGCGCCCAACGGGCTGGGAGGACGCGTGATGCGTGCCGCTGGGGGCCCGTCAGCACCATCACCTGCGCTCAGAAGCCCTCCACGGAGTCCAGCATCATCTGCATGATCCGCTCGTGGTGACTCTTCGGGGGGACGCCTCGCTTCACTACTGCCCCGAGCTGCCGCAAGGAGTCGAGCAACTGCGTCTGAATGCCAGTCCCCTCCGCGGCCATGTGCAGCTTCGCCGTCTTGCGATCGTGGGTGTACGACACTCTGCAGTGGCGGATGTGGTCGCACAGCTTGTCGTTCGTCACCGTCGGGTCGCTCTTCACTTTGTTGAGCCACTCTGAGAGCGCCGCGTGGTTGGCCTGACCGCACCCGACGCCGCCCTGGACGATGGCCCCCACCAGCGCCAAGAAGAGGTGTGGATGTGGTACTCCTAGGTTGTCCAGCTCTGGCACCGCCTGCTTGTTCCTCAGGGCCGCCGCGTGATCCTTCCTCAAGCGCTGTGCCTCCTGTACGTAGAAGCGCCCAGTTACCTTCATGGCCTCGATCACTGCGTGCGTTGCGTCGATGTGGATACAGAAGTACATCGCCGCCTCGAGCCCTGCCACGGCCTGAGAGTTCTTCAAGACTGTCCTCACGATTATCGGGAACAGCGCCTGGATGAGGGGGATCGGCACCGCTTGGTTCTGTAGGCCCTCGATGTCGCTCCGCTGCAGGCCGTAGTTCGCGTCGGCGTCCTGGAACATCGCCGAGAGAGCGTCTGCGATGCCGTGCTGTCCCAGCTGCTCGCGGGGGCCGCGGAGTCCGCCGCCGCCCGCGATGTTCGCCGCCCCCTGCGCGGGCAGCTCGCCGCCGCTGGGGGCAGCTGCTGTCCCCGCGCCGCTGTCGCCGCGGCGCCTGCTCTCTGAGTCCCTCGGCTCTCTGCGACGCCTTCCAGCGCCGCGCCGTTCTCCGCTGCGAGACCGCATGGCCTCTGCCCGCGCGGGGCCGTCCGCTGCGAGGGCCCTCGTCGCCAGGTCCATTGCACCACCACTCAGTAGAAACTAACGCGGGTGCAGGCTGCGGCGCGTGCACGTGTCTGATGTGAAGCTGGAGTTCCGCCAACGAGCCGAGTGGCTCCGTACACCTTGAGCCTGGTGG